CTGAGTTTACAAAAAGAGTTCGCCAGCTATATAGGTCTTAGCCCTTGATCCCTAAGGATCAAACACAAGGGAGCCACTGGTAAAATCATCACAGTTGAGAACAGATGACACACTGAGGAGAAAAGCCATTGAGAAATTGGATTCCAGAATCATAGCAGCTACAAGGCGGGATATTGTTGCAGCAGAGGCGCACTACCATAGGAGTTGCTACAGATCTTATACACGAGAGGATAATAGACTTCACCGCTCAACTTCAGTCACCAAAGTCACAGAAGAAGAGCTAAATTATGAAGAGGCTTTGACAGCAGCATATGATAAACTTTTTATGTATATACGAAACACTGCGTATTCCAGAATTCAACTGTATTAAAGATGTCAGAGATAACCTATAAGACTGAAAAACTACATGGAGGAAAAAGGATGCCAGAATATCAAGACTTCAACAACTAAACATCTGCACAGGAAACTCAAGTCAGAATTTGGTGACGGCCTGCATATATTTCAGGATGATAATGCCAGACATCTACTTTTTCCCAGTACATTGACAACTAAAGGCTCTGGAGGAAACAGCAAACAGAGATACACAGACAGCAGGCGGAAGAAAGGGCTTCAGTCTTAAACCTGGTGCTGTTGCTAAGTATTATCTGATGGCAGAATATCGCAGTATCTTCTTAGGACAGATCAGGAGTCTCACGAAGTTGACCCGATCAAGTTTCAGTCATCAAGATTTACAACAATCAAGGAGAGCAAGAGATGAGGCAGATGTTCTTGCTGTTGTAGACATGTTGGAAAACAATTGGGTAAACCCTTTCTGGAATTCAGAACTCATCTCCTTGACAACGGTTGCTGCTGCTGCCACTCCAGCCATGGTATCTGACCTTCTCAAGGCACAGACCATTGAGGAAGAGAGGATGATGGACTTCTGTACAAATCGTTTACAGCCTTTGTCACCACAGGACTTTCATGCCCGGCTACTAAGAAACAACATGAAAACTTTCACCGAATTGAGCCAGAAGAAGAAGAAAATCCAAACAAGTCAAGTGGAGGTTGTGCTCAGAGCTGACAGGAACCTTTTTGCTCATATGGTTATTATAGCTCAAAGCAGAAAACTTGACATGAAGTCTGTTTTCAGGCATCCTCTTGGACTGCTTCCTTTATCACTTGCATATCCAGATGGTTCCATCAGAAAGACTAACAAGTCAAGCCTAGCTCGAGAACTGGAAAAGAACATCCTTCCTGAAGAGAAGCTCCCTTACCCATCCTGTACTCTGATTGATGGTATGGTACTTGTCCAGAAGATAAAAGGTGACAACAAAACCTTCCAGTTGGTTGCAGAAGAAATGTTTGTCCTGGTCCTTCATGAAGGTTACAGCAGTCAGAGGATTGATGTCGTCTTTGATGTGTACAGGAATGTGTCAATCAAAAATACAGAGAGAGGTCAGCGTTCTGGAACTCAAGGAACACAATACAAGAACATTGCAGCAGGCCACACCATAAAACAATGGCGAAAATTCCTTTTCCAACTCTTCCAACAAAAAGAATCTTGTTCTGTTTTGTCAAGGAATGGGGAGGTGAGAAGTATGAAAGTCGGATTGGAAACAAGGACCTCATTGTCACCTGTGAAGAAGAATGTATCAAGCTGGGCCTAAACAGTGTAGAGAGGATAGAGGAACTAACATCCACTCAAGAGGAAGCAGACACTCGGCTGTTACTCCACGCCAGACATGCTTCAACCAAGGGCTACGGGAACATAATCATTTGTCCCGAGGATACAGATGTATTTCTACTCTGTGTTGCCTTCCAATCATCTCTTGAAACAGATCTCTACATGAAGCTAGGAACAAAGAACAGAACAAGACTCATCAAGGTTTCAAGTGTAGCCCAGATCCTCGGTCAGAGCGTCTCTGAAGCACTACCTGCATTTTGCAGGAAAAGGAAAAAAACTGTCTGCTCTCAGACTCCTCAAGGGGAATAAGAAGTACCAAGACTGCTTCAAAAAACTTGGAGAGGATCCTGAGCTTACAGAAGATCAATTTCAAGTCCTGGAAGACTTCACGTGTTCACTGTATGGATCATCCCTCAAGAGTGTCAACGATCTTCGCCACACATTGTTCCTCCTGAGGAAGGGCGAACTCGAATCCCACCAGCTTCCTCCTTGCAGAGACTGTTTATTCAGGCACTCACAGAGAGCCTGCTACCAATCTCATGTGTGGCAGATGGCCATGGAATGCAAGCCTGGAATTCCATCACCTGTTGGCAAAGGATGGATCCTTGAAGAGAGAGACGGTGAAAGTGTGCTTACGGTCGAGTGGATGAGTGGTCTACCGGCACCTGAAGCTGTCCTACGGCTTTTAGCATGCAAATGCTCCAGAACATGGAAGATGACATAGAGCTGGTTCCGATAACAAGATGATGTGATAACAGTGATGACATATATGATGAATGAACACAATGTATGTAAATGTCATCAAATGCATCAAAATAATCAGGTAAATAATGTAAACACAACATGTAATTTGATATTTCATTTACATTCCTAATTGAAAATTTGATGAAAAGGTGCAACTGTACTAACTATTCTTTATACCATGATCAACTCTTTGACATTTTTGACTAAGAAACATTCATGACTACTTAATATGTTTAACAAATTTGTTTTCTTTTCTTTATAGAGGCGAAAACTCTTTTTCATGTTTTCCTAAGATTTTCAGACTCCTAAATTTTTGTCAAATTTCATTTTATATGAAATAGCTGCGAAATATTTCTTTCACATCAAAACATCATTTTGAGACACCTCAGAGCTGTAGGAAAAATAGGTCTTCCAATCACCCTAATTTTCACTCTGGGATCAAGGACTATCTATAAATAATCGAGTCTGGACCAGACAATCCAGTGATCAACACCATGAGCATCGTTCTACGCTATTGGGATACGATGACAAGTGTCAACCAAGTCAGCGAGCCTGATCCCCCGATACCGCAAGTCGCCTCTTACGACAAGCATGGGTTACTGAAGGTCAATATTCTAACCCGGATCTTCACGGGTAAATCGAAAATGAATAGTATAGGTTGCAAATTACAAATTTGAGTCTTTCCGAAGTGACATCTGATTGATCGTCTTCTAAAATCAAAACATACATGCAATCAGACCGCCTTCACCGTCCGCCTCAAAGTCGCTTCGATCCCCGACCGCGTCATACCAAAAGACGTTAAAATATGCTACTTCTACTCCCTGCCTGGCGCTCGGCAGTAATGGGTACAACAAGGACTATTCGGAGTCAGTATAATGTGTCTGGTCATTTCATGCTTCACTGCGGCAGCAGTGGGTCAATCCCCAGTTTATCTGGGCTAGTACAAGACGTCACGCATGCACGTCGTCATATGAGATATTCTCAAGGACGTTAAGACAGATGTACCTCTACTATGAATCATGTACGAATGTGTATGGTCACATTTTCAATGTACTATGACGTCCGACCAGGTGATAATGGATTCGACCTAGGTGATGAATCATAGCTGTTAGTCACATTTTAAATGTAACATGAAATGGACGAAGGTGATAAGTGAGATAGTCATAGTTTAGTCATCATACTAGTTCCAATGGTTAGAGTCACTGTGTAACATTTATGAAATACAGTAACCAGGCGCTGCCAACATATGTCCCTAAAATGTTCATAATGAAAGACCCGTGATGATCCGGGTAAGAATTGGTCTTTCAGCAACCCATGCTTGTCGTAAAATTCGACTAACGGGATCAGGTGGTCAGACTAGCTGACTTGGTTGATAAACGTCATCGTATCCCAATTGCGTAGATCGATGCTCATGCTGTTGATCATTGGATTGTGCGATCAAGACTTGGTTATTTACAGACCGCCATCATATAGCTGGAATATTGCTGAGTGCGGCGTAAAACTCACTCACTCACTCACTCATAGTAAAAATCAATATACGGAACCAGACAGAATTTTACATGTACATACTTTTCATCAGATAAATACAATCTTATATTGTGCAGTGACTTGGTTGACACATGTCATCACAGTCATCGCATCCCATTTGCGCATACTGGTGCTCATGCTGTTGAACCCTGGATTGTCTCGACAGAATAGATGCCCATTGCCTCCCGAAGTTGACAGAGGCAGGCGGAATACTTTCATTCCTCTTGCTATCAACCAATGTATTCTAAGCCAAAGAGTTTTAGTAATTACATGTTTCTGTGATTGAGCTGGACTTTTAAAAATACACAAAGGCCAAAGATATTGTGGCACACAAATAGTATCAGTGTGATATTTTGTTACATGTTATTTACATGGAAAGAGAAATATTTTAAGGTATGATAACTATCAACAGCTGGCATATGCAAATTATCTACAACACAAGAAGGGCTGACGAGCAAGTTCAGTACCGAGTATTGTTAGCATTTTGCATTGATGCAGGTTTGGTACCCTCGCTTCACTGCGGCCACAAAGGTCCTGGGAAATATCGTTCCATACCAAATGAAGGCTTTAGCGGAGATCCCGCAGCATTGTTGGAGAATTCTGATGACGTCGTATGCGTCTCTCTATTTTATCCCAGAACCTATCAATGGCTGAGAAATGAGTCAGGGGACCTTGCGGGCTTGAGGAACAAGCACTGTTCTGACTACAATAAAGGTAGTGGGGTAGCCTAGCGGTTCAAACGTTCGCTCGTCCCTCCGAAGACCCTGTGCGATTCCCCACATGGGTACAATGTATGAAGCCCATTTCTGGTGTTCCCCGGCGTGATATTGCTGGAATATTGCTAAGCGGCACTAAACTAAACTCACTCACTCACTCTGAAAAAGTATAGTCGAGGCTTCCACTAATAACCTGTTTAATGTATTTGTGAACTCTGACTCGTTCTCAGCTCTCTAATAACGAACCGTTTAACACAGAATTCTACACTATAAAATGTCAATCACAAAATATTACTATCTTGACTATCCGAAGAATTCCCATTGCTATGAAAGGGAAAATAGCTGTGAAGCGTTCAATGTAAAACATGTTTATTTCCAAATCAACATCCAATACATAAACCATATGAAACAGATCTAGATATATTATGTTGACAGTATTAATTTCACATGCCAAAACATTTTTTTCAAACAGATCTCTGATGAACTATTAACGGTATATACATGTTGTTGCTTTGGCACACGAAAATGTTCATTATCAGAAAACAGAAATATACATTACATAGAAATTACAGCCATATACTTTTCATCGGATTCTTAGTACATTAAAATAATTCATAAATGTAACATTTGCGTAATGTTCTTTTTTATGACATGAAGAAAACGTTTCACCAAAACGGAAAACAGATTTTTGCAGTATACGAATCAGACTAGCTATTCTCGAAACGTTTATAGCTCTACGAACTTCTTAAGCCCATTCTTAACACATTGGCTACGATCAGAGTTGAGAATTCTTAGGGCTACGAACGTTTTGAGAATAAGGGTCCTGCACTACAAAATTTGAGTCTGAATAATGTCGTGCATTGTTCCATGGCAAAAGATGAATACACATTTGATACATCCTCAAAGGGATGCAGAATAGATATATCCCCTCCAAAAATACATTTCATCGTATCCCAATTGCGTAGAACTATGATCATGATATTATCATTAAATAAAGCGCGGTACGAGTAATTTGACAAAGAAAAAGGAATTGTAAATTAAAAGATTATTTCCCCTTAAACGGGACGTGCTCATTCAAAATATATAATGTATGTAAATTCACACATCTCCAACAAAAAGAAACACCAATGAACAACGAATTGAATTAGCACTATATCTAAAAACACAGCATACACTAACATATACTCAAGAAAGGTTAGTCACATATGAATGAGTGACGTCACAGCAGTTAGTATCAGTAAACTCCCTGTTTAGCTTCATTTTTAAAAAAACCACACAAAAAACAGCGAAACCGAAAGCAAAGGTGAAAGGGGTTCCCTGACGCTTCAAGTGTCTTATAATCTAAACTGTACAGCTTCACCTAGATACTTGTGGTCTATCCTGTTAGCATATAGTTTGGTTCTAACTGCTGATAGTTAAGTGACTACATTTTCGACATTTTTACCTCCCCAATACATAATCTGATATATTCAGCGACTATTGGTGACTTCACAGCCCAACCTTCGCTGAAATTTAACAATATATGGAAGAAAATTCTGTTTTGAAAATACTTTGAAAAAATGGTTCACTCTTCTGTTCAGCTTTTTAGAAAAGTGAAACCGGAAAGGTAAAGGAAGGAAATATTCACCTACGCTTCAAGAGTCAAGGACCCCAATATTTATATTTCACATGAATGGGTTTCATACGAGGCTTAATATGTACAACGTGCGTTCATGTCAATACATTTAACACATATCTTGATCTTGATTGAAAGAAGCGATCGAACGCTGTATAATACTGGACAGATATAAACATTCTAAAAAAGTTAAAATATTCTTTGATTGTATGGTTTGATTGATAGCTCGCCAATTTGTAGTACAGCGGCCATATCATAAACAGTATGTACACTGGACGCTCAAAACACCTCTTCTCTCTTCTTTGCAATAGCCTTTGCTTCTCCGCTGTTCTTCACGAAATCCTGAAAGAGTAAACAATAATTTCATGGGAAGAATGGGTTGGAACTGTATGACTTTGATGAACTTGTTTGTTTGCTAACTACTGACATTTTAATGACTGCAGCCATTTTGGGGTTAATGTCGTTTTGGGACCAAACAAACCAGTTATTACTTTATCACAGGCAAGATCCCATGCTTTCCAGGTACGATGGTCAGTGGCCCTCACCACGCGGTCCCTATAGTCCCTACCTACAACAGGCATCGCTATAGGGCTTGCTGGTCACTAATCTGACACTATATCCTCAGGGGAATGTGTTTTGTGCATTGCCCATGAGTGTTCTAAAACAACGCTTATACTAGATGCCAAAATTGTTTTCCCAGCAACACTTTTTCCACTGTGTTGTTCATGAAGAGAACATTTTTACGACTTATGAAATAAGTTTATTCCTTAAAAGTGAGACATTTCCACAAGTGTTTACATTTCAAATGATAATGATTAATTACAAAGATTGTAATATATCAATTATGCAAACGTTTTAAAAAATGCCTTGGACACGTGAAGATCCGGGTTAGATTTGATCTTCAGTAACCCATGCTTGTCGTAAGAGGCGACTGACGGATCGGGTGGTCAGGCTCGCTGACTTGGTTGACACATGTCATCGTATCCCAATTGCGTAGATTGATCCTGATGATGTTGATCACTGGATTGTCTGGTCCAAACTCGATTATTTACAGACCGCCGCCATGTAGCTGGAATATTGCGTTATTAGTAACGCCCTGCTTGATACATGGGGCCCAGTGCCGATTATTTCAGGAACGGTCAATTGTTTCCATGCTCAATGGAATGATTGGCGGAAGTTTCTCGTTGGTACATGTGGGTGGGCCTGAGATTACTTACCATTAGACCTTTGCTCATGTAGTAAGGCCGCTCTACACCATCGTTCCTGTCACAGTCTTCCACAAAACACACAAATATGGCATCGATGGTCATCTGCGTAAATAAACAAAATTGAATATATTCATCAGAATACACTTCAGAAACGTTTTACCCACCACTTAAACTGACAGCCTATGAACTTATTGTTATAACTGAGATACTGAGTACAATTAGCGCCAACTTGAACATTTTTACATGTTTTAGCTGAATCGTGTCAGTTAAATAGGTTAGATTTGGTCCCGACTAACCGGATCGGGTGGTCAGGCTCGCTGACTTCGTTGACACATGTCATCGTATCCCAATTGCGTAGACCGATGCTCATGCTGTTGATCACTGGCTTGTCTGGTCCAGACTCGATTATTTACAGACCGTCGCCATATAACTGGAATATTGCTGAGTGCGACGTTAAACAATAAACAAACAAACAAAAAACCTGACTGTGAAGGAGACACCTTAAGCAACCGTCTTCCTCTTTCATGCTCTATAACATGTGTTGCATTTTTGTTTTGTCCTCAGGACATTCCAGAGATTGATATTAAGAGCAAACCATCTATTCGACTGTATTGCAATGACACGTTATGAAACAAGTCACTGAGTCTGGCCATCCGATTCACCAGGCTGCTTGGCTGCTGGAGGCATAAGGTCTTATTCTTATTCTTATTCGACCACAGTTACCTCCCTTACCTCATACACCGCCAGAAAACAACTTGAGATGAAGTAGGCGAAGATGCAAGCCACAGTGATGGGAACCCATGTGTAATGGACGTCGGTTCTATCCTGGAACAGGACAATGGTATCACAGTCTCGTAAAGAATTTTTCAGGGACATGGTTCCTGGTATATTGGGATAATAAGATAAACAATGCCGTTTTAGAAATGGTCAAATGTACCAAAGTTATATTACATTCCACCCACCCTGAACAGCTCAATGCCTACGACGGCAACGACAGCGACAGTGCCAACTTTGCCCAAAAAAGAGGAGGAAATCTCCAACACAGTTTATAGCTGCTACACGGAGGGCGTTGTTGACGATCAGCAGGAACGCTTGTTTTGCAGCCTTGCAGAAGCCATAGCCATTGATTGCTGAAACATACACAGTGTGGTAGTTTGAATGTTTCCAATAAAACATTTCTGGTGTCCCCTACCGTAATATTGCTGAAGTATACACAGTGTGCATAGATGTAAATATCTAGTGTAGTATTTTGAATGTTTCCATTAAAACATTTCTGGTGTCCCCGCCGTGATACTGCTGAAATATACACAGTTAGCCTACATGTAAATATCTAGTGTAGTATTTTGAATGATTCCATTAAAACATTTCTGGTGCCTCCCGCCGTAATATTGCTCAAATATACACAGTAGTGTGTATACATAAATCCAAAGTTTGTTAGTCTGTCCATGTTTCAGTTACAAAAAAAGAGAGATGCTAGGATTTAGTAAGTAAGAGATAAGACATATGTCCCAATCCAGTAAAATTCATGTTATCAGGTAAAACCTGAGGTCTAATTATCTTTCAAATTAATCTGGGACAAAATATTTTTCCAACATGCAGCTCATTGCAGCGTAAAACAACACTCACTCATTCGGGTGTGTATGCTGCATAAACAAGTGTTATATATCACAGCTTTATCTCGTCAGTTTGTTAATATTTTTCACATTTCACAGCTATATCTAGTCAGTTGGATAATTTAAGACATGAAAGTCCTAGTGGGTCACTGAGTTGCGAGATCACAGTGTACTTACATAAACATTTGACATGAAAGTACACGGAATTATTACATAAGCTCATGTTGATTACCATAGAAATACACATTATCTGAGATTCACGTCACTTGGAAAGCAGTGCACCCGTTAAGCGTGTGTGTGACTTCGCTTCAACGCCGTTTTGAACAAAATGTCAGTGAGTGATTGGGTGAGTGCATTTAGTTTTACGACGCTGTTAGCACTATTCCAGCAATATCACTAATGAGAAATCAAACTATTTTCAGGGGAAAGTCACTGCAAGTTAAAACATTTATGTTTCTGTTCTTCCTTTCAAACCTACAACACAACAAAATGTTCATGCTATGAGACTATATGTTATCAATGATCTACTTTTACAACACCACTCAAAAGGAGTCAAGGTCCACTCTATTCTTTCATATTACTATTGTTGTCTGTCGTGGCATGACAGGAGTGAGTGAGTGAGTATGGTTTTACGCCACTTTTAACAACATTCCAGCAATATTACGGCGGGGGACACCAGAAATGGGCTTCACACATTGTACCCATGTGGGGAATCGAACCCGGATCTTGGACGTGACGAGCGAACGCTTTAATCACTGGGCTACCCAACCGCCCCGAAAGTCCAATTAAACTGCCGGGCAAACACAGAATGAGGTGACCGAAAAACGTAGCCCTTACTAAAACGGTAATAGGCTACAAACACTTACTGAAACGCTGCAAACGTAATTAAGCGGTAATTCATTTTGCACGAAACGCGTTTCAAACACATCATTTTTACACACAAAAAAGAACAACTAAAATTGTTTCAGTTTTGGCCAGTGTCAAACATTGGTGTATGCTTCTGTTTTTCGGGCTGTTTTGTTTGTTTGTGGTTTGGGGCCCCAATCAGAAATATCCCAACTATATGGCGGCGATCTGAAAATAATTGAGTCTAGATCAGACAATCCAGAGATCAACATCATGAGCATCGATCACCGCAGTTGGGTTAAATATGGGTTAAAACCATTTATAAACCGGGTCTTCACGGTTTCATCCAGGCAGTTATTTCGCTATTGTTCCATACTGTTTGGGAGTATTAATAATGTTGGTTTTTGTTAGCATCGAAACTACATTACCTATTTGTATATATGCGTTGTCATTCAGAAACTTGAGAAACTTCTCAAAACACCATAAGCAGCATCCAAGGCACTTCAGGAAAAACTTAGCCAAAAAATTCTCAGCTCCTTTCAATCTGTGAAAACAAAGTAAGGTTAAAATTTGGCGCTTTATTTGACTATCTACAAATGCTTCGCACAAAACGTTGTCCCAGTCGTCTGAGGTTGTGCAGAGTTGCGTCCCTTGAGCGGGCCAGACACTTATGGCCACAGTTTCGAATCCTGATTTGCCCCGATTGTATTTCTATGATTGACTGCACAGAACTTTGCGTGTTCATGCCTAGAGTGGTAAACATCTAAGACAAGCATCACTTCTGGCTTTTCTCGAACATCAAGTTGAATGCTGTTTATAGATGAACTAATTCACTCCCAAATATGTTGAGTTAGTGTGCCTTTTCTCCAATGTTAGCAAAATTCAACATCAAGACTAACACGAAATAGTTCGATTGCGTGACGACCGAACCCGTAGACAAACCCCCCACACCCACTTTAATGAACCTTAATTGAACTCCATCAGATATTTATGTATAATGTATACATGCATCAGACTTTGAAGCCATGAGAAAAAGGTCACATTTCTACTCACCGTCCTTCAATAAAGGACAAGCCAAGTCGGATGAACTTCACAATGGCGATGATGAGTGACCCGATTGCAACTGAGCCCAGATGGAATCTGAAGGAGAAAGAAAAACTAACAATTATAACAAATAACTAGTGCCATAAAGATCGATGTTTACAATGTACGCAAACCAGTGAGTGATATTATGAACAACGTCCCATATCGTTAGTGTAAACTGACACCCAATCAACGAGATCACAACGAGATCACAACGACCGAATCACTAAGTAGCCTCTTGAGGACAGATTACTGGGATATATACTGATCAGAAATCCCGAGGTGGGAGTTTCTCTTAAACGAAGTAAGTGCACCGTACCTGATCAGTCGAGAGATGGAGAGTGCTATCGGCCATCCAAGATCGGATTTGTCTCTGAAAATTTAAATTGCATGTGATCTAATAAAGGTTATTAGATGTAAAATGGAACTGTTTCAAGGCATTTTTGTTTGGGCGTTTCTATTTATATACTATTCCAAAAAAGAAACGCATAACCCAGAAATCTGTTGCGAAAATGTTGTATTTTCAAACATGTATAACTCCTCCACAAATAGACTTTAAGAAATGAATGTTTACATCAGTTTAGAAGAAGGTAATGTCTATACAACCAAGTGGATAATTTTAGATAACGGAGACGTTGAGCGCGATTGTGACGACGTGGCACGGTCCCGACGTCAAGTCTCCTGGCTCTCAGTCCATTCTCTCTCAACCTGTTCCGTACACTTTGACCGGATATCCTCCGAAGTCCAGGCACCCTGGCTGCTGTGCTCTCACACGTGGCAGTGCGATCACGCAAATGTAGTACCCGGATGTACCGATCTTGGGCTACAGTGGTGACTCGAGGTCTGCCTTTACGGGGACGGTCATTTGTTATACCTGTTTGGTTGTAACGTGCTGCAAACAGTGATATCCTGCTCAGACTAACATTCAGACGCCTGGCAACAGAAAATAGGTAATCTCCAGCGTGCATTCTTTCAATGGCGATGTTCCGTGTCGCAGCGTCAAGACTTGGCGTAGTGATTTGACCTTGAAACTCCTTCAAAACGAGTGCCGATTTCCGAAAGTAACCTAGATTTTTATGGCCAGACAGTGCATGCTCTTTGCTCTTTCTGTTACGTTGTGGAGATACCTTTTTAATTCTTGTAAGAAATCTCATAAAAATCAACATTTTCAGGTAAAGTCGACTTTTCACTTATCCATTTGTGTAAAATCATGTTATCAACACTTTTGTTACATATTTTGACGATTGTTTGAAGACAATAGGTAATTAATAGATTTTTTTAAATACCAAACGCCTATGCGTTTCTTTTTTGGGATAGTATATACATAATTCTTTTTTTTCGTCTTCAGTTCTGTTTTGATGTGTTGTGTTTTTTGTTTGTTTGGTTTTGTTCTGTTCGTTTGTTTGTTTGTTGTTGTTGTTTGTTCGTTTGCTTGGTTTTGTTGTTGTTGTTTGGGGAGGGAGGGGGACACGGTTATATGACGTGGGTCTTTTAAATGGGGTTTGGGCCTATCGCATCGATCTATGCAATTGGATATGAAGATACATTGTATATGCATTACTTAAATAAGGGAGCTTGGCCACCCCAGTCAGGAGGTCAGTCTTCAAGTCTGACTTACCTAGTGAAGTACCAAACAGCCACAGCTCCAGACACCGCGAGCCTCTGACAGGCGAAGATGAACTGGGTGATCCACAAGAAGCCCAGTATGTAGTAGGCTATTAGATACTGGGGAGAGAATAAAGGTGCATCAGTGACTACACATCACAACCGACAGCATTGTGCTTTGATTTGTTAATAATGGAACAGGACCGAAGTACGATGAAATATTAAGACATCAGTGATCAGCCACGACACACATTCTAAGCGCTTGATACCCAAAGGCTTTTAACCCAGCCATGAAGAACATAGACCAGATTCAATGATGGAACAAACATCCACTGGCAAGAGCTAAAGCCATTGATAACTGAAAAAGGTCTATACCTGATGGATTTATTTAAAGGACATGCCACCAAAACAACAGCCCCGAGGAATCATTTTTTTCAAATTTCAATAGTTCAAAAGTGAGGAATTGGTTTTAACGCCGTTTTGAAAGTTTTCCAGTTACATAATGCCGTTCCAGCTTAACCACGGCCGAAATTCGGATGTGAGATAGATGCCTGCCACGATGAGGCAGATGCCTGCCACTCTGGGGTCAATGTCTTTCAATTTGAGGCAGATGTTTTCACTTTGAGGGAGGTGTTTGTCACTTTGGGGCAGATGTTTGTCTCTTTGAGGCAGATGTTTGTTCCTTGCAGGCAGTTGTTTGTCACTTTGAGGCAGACGTTTGTCTCTTTGAGGCAGTTGTTTGTCACTTTGAGGGAGATGTTTTCACTTTAAGGGAGATGTTTGTCACTTTGAGGCAGATGTTTGTCACAATGAGGCAGATGTTTTCACTTTGAGGCAGATGTTTTCACTTTGAGGCAGATGTTTGTCACTTTGAGGTAAATGTTTGTCACTTTGAGGCAGGTGTTTGTCCCTTTGGGGCAAATGTTTGTCACGTTGAGGCAGATGTTTGTCACTTTGAGGCAGGTGTTTTCACTTTGAGGGAGACGTTTTCACTTTGAGGGAGGCGTTTGTCACTTTGAGGCAGATGTTTGTCACAATGAGGCAGATGTTTTCACTTTGAAGCAGATGTTTTCACTTTGAGGCAGATGTTTATCACTTTGAGGCAGATGTTTTCACTTTGAGGCAGGTGTTTGTCACTTTGAGGCAGATGTTTGTCACAATGAGGCAGATGTTTGTCACTTTGAAGCAGATGTTTATCACTTTGAGGCAGATGTTTTCACTTTGAGGCAGGTGTTTTCACTTTGAGGGAGGCGTTTTCACTTTGAGGGAGGCGTTTTCACTTTGAGGGAGGCGTTTTCACGTTTTCACTTTGAGGGAGGCGTTTTCACTTTGAGGGAGATGTCTGCCACAATGGTGAAATCCATAAGCACGGTATGGTGTTAACAAACCAAGAAACATGTTCAGGGAGAATCTGGAACTTGAACACAGTGGGTCCCCATCCACAAAACCTTCGTAAGCCTATGATAAACTTTAGAGTTACGACAGGTCGTAACGTTACGAACGCTTTGTGGATCGGGACCCAGGTCTGTAAAAACTGATGAACTTTATCATGAACGCTATTGCAGTATTCACTATAATCAAATGAAAGTTTGATATAAATATACCTTTAATGTTTGATCTTCTGTGTAGCTGACAACCCCTGCTGAGTTGGGTACAGGATGCTCTGAGGAGGTGATATAGCAAATCAGTGTATGATGAAGTATCACGTATTCCAATCGAATTGGTACATTATCTACCATCCTTTCGTCGTCATAGCAACCCAAAGACAGATGGAAAAGGTTATCACCCCTGAAGTGTTATTCAATTGAAAACATGGCTATAATCCATAAAGTTATCGTTATGGCTATACATGTTCTGTAGTTTCCATCCCATTGACATTTCAAAGCAAAATTTTGTCTGTGAAGCCTAGCGACGAAGAAATAGAGTTATTGATTCCATGTTTGATAACTGACTGGCACTGTTCCATGGCAGCGAGTTGATGTATTTGAGATATGACCTAGAGATATTTGTAAATGTCGACATGACCAAATGTCCACTCACTTGCTGTGACAATGTAGAGGAATGCATACACCAAACCAGCCGTCACACCGCCAGCAATGATCAGAGTCTGTGAAAACATATTAGTAGTAATTAGGGCTGGCTAAAATGATCGATAATCGTAAATATGATCGATAGGAAAAATGATTAACGATTATCGATAATTGAAAATTGTGTTATCGATAATTGAAAATTGTGTGTTATCGATAAAACCGTACAATAAATTTTCTGATATAAAAAGGTTTTAACCTTACCACACAATATACAAATTAGGACTCTATTCATGGTCTGCTTCTAAATTATATTCAGGACGCTGTTTTGTTATTAATCCATGCAAAAACAGGTCACCATTCACCAGTGATGTGAAATATATCAATTTCTTTCAGACATTTTTGTCTTTTTTGCTCAAAGTTAACTTACATCTCCGATATTCATCGATTATCGATCTTGATTATGTCTATCGATAGCCAGCCCTAGTAGTTATACAGTATACAGTGCATACGGAAATAAGTTATGAGGAAAATATCCTCTTCCATCAGATATTTTTGTCCAGTGCTGACTTTACATGTCACTCCCTACAAAAAATGATAACAAATGTACCAGAGTCCGCTATCAGTGTTTTATCAATGGTACCACGGCCCTTGTAACCTTGAACATGTGACTTAGGGCTTCACTGTCCTAAGTGAATGTATTCACATTCTGTCGAGCTGGTCCTAGACGTTCACATCAATAAAACATACAATCAATATGTTTGCGATGCACTCACCATAAATGGCATCAGCAGGGCGAAAGGGATTTTAGCTATGGCTTTTCCAGCTTCTCGGAACAGTTGGACAACCTTAGAAAACATAGAAAAGCAGACATATCATTGAAACTAACGGTTTAATGAGATTCTTGAGAGGCATTTAGAAGTTGGTGAATATATAAAATGAGTATATGGATGGCAACATCTTCTTTATTGTATAACGCAACGTTTGTGGGCTACTTCTTGCCCCTTCTTCAGGTGATAAACACAGGTGTAGAAAACATATTACACAATGTATATATACCAGCATCTTGGCTACCAATGTTCACGATTGGCGAAAACGAAAAATACTAGAAGCCATCAACATCAGATTAACCCCAGAGATTAATAGAGATCAAGGCGTATACCTCCCTAGTGCCTGGAACATCACAAAAGATGAGCCACACTCGCCTCCATTGTCTCTTAATTAGCTGTATATCACTCTGCTGTGTTCACATCTCCTTACCCCCATTCTTTGTGTCAACTGGCTTTACCTTATCCCAATTATCACTGTTTTTAATACTTTATATAACTTGTTTTTTATCTGTCCTCATTGATTGATTATATATACATGTACATCTCTGGCTTCCTGGTATATATAATATGTTTTCTACACCTCCCTTTATCACCTGAAGAAGGGACAAGAAATAGCCCAGAAACGTCGTGTTATACAAGAAGACGTTGCCATCCATATACTCGTCTTATATAACGGTTTAATGGTGTGTTGGATATTCTTGTGTAACCTTACGTTGGAAAACAAAGCGCCTGTGAGCAGCGTAGCTGGAACATGGCGCTATATAAATAGATTATAATAATGATGATAATAATAAAATATCTACTGTCCCGCTAGCCAGATGCTAGCTGATTGTGAATCAGGCCAGTAATATACTGTTAAAGCTTTTCCGAAATTTTGCAGGGCCAGTGAAGTATGATGTGGGCTAGCAATATTTTAACTTAACTAGCCGTCCTGGTCAGTGACTTTTCAAAATAAATTCATGTACTGTATATACATATCAAACAATATATAATATATCAAACAAGGCAACCTGACGCAGTAGCACTAACGGCATCATGTGTATATTACGTTATCCTGGGATTGTACATTCCTAACACTGACTAAAGACTCAGTAATATCCGATATACTTCCAAATGTACTGATAGAATATGTATTAATTGTAAGGTCACTGACAGTTGAAGTGTATTAATTTTATTTGCTTGCGTACGGAAGGGACCTTCTGAAAGTAACAGTCAAGATCCGGGTTATAATGGGTCTTCAGCAACACTTGAGTGTCGTAAAAGCACTAACGGGATTTGGTGTTCAGGCTCGCTGGGTCATTGTATCCCATTGCATCCCAATTGTGTGGATCGATGCTCATACTGTTGGTCACTGGATTGTTTGTTCCAGATTATTTACAGACCGCCGCCATATAACTGGAATACTGCAGAGTGCGGAGTTACACAACAAAACCAACCAACTTCTGAAAGAAGTAACTTACTAGCTTGATTCTTTTCCGGAGTACCAGTAGGATCAACAGAATTATGACCTGAAATGAATTTGATAGAAAATTATGCAAGATGGCAAAAAGCGCTAGAATTGTCATAACCAATGTTTCAAATATATTTTCCCCTCAACGTTTATTTGAACAGTCGAATTTCCGCCCTTAAGAGATTTAATTAAGATACGATACTTACAGCAACAACGGTTGCCCCTATTGATCCCCACAACCATTCGTTGGTCTTCTCCTTCGTGTAACTGTACCTGCACAAACAACATTACTTTCATTGGTATATAAACGTTAAACACTGACTCTTTCACCAAAGTTGTAGACCACAGCACTATGAATTCCCCTCCTTTTCTGACCTGTCATGTCAGTATATAACTAAAATACTTATCCAGTAATTTAACTTTCTATAATACACGTGGAATTGCTTGCCTAGGGCCTATAACACCTGGATAAAGAAACATATCATCTGAAAGTACTGACACTTTAATACCCTTGCTTAACGCTCACTCTTGGGAGAACATGGAATTGCTCTACTACACTTGGTTACTCCTTTGCACAAGACACAAAGAGTACACGGTCCCTTGGACATTGGTATACATGTATATCACTCGTCGTCTTGAACTGATTGGTCACAACATGAAGACGTCCAGTAAGGATACTGACCAGCAGAATGCGACACCACCAATACATCCAGCAGCAATTAGAATCACGGTCATCCAGACAATGGGGCCGGCAAAGAAGCGGAGGAAGATCAGCATTACGATAGCGACAACTGCAGAAGAAAACATAAGGATGTACTTCATGATAATGTCATTTAGTATGAAAAACAGTCTAACTAACCCTCCCTTTCTCATTTTGATTCCTAATAATTGTGGAACTGTGTGGGTATGATCTTTACAACATAAGCTGTTAAAGAAGGATGCACTTCATGATAATGTTATACAGTATTAACGGCAGTCTAACCAACCCTCCCTGTCCGATTGCTATCAGCTGTGTGGGTATTTTCTTTACAACATAGGTGGTTAAAGAAGGATGCACTTCATGATAATGTCAGTCTAACTAAACCTGCGGATTCCTAATAACTGCGGAATAAGTGTGTGTGTGTGTGTGTGTGTGTGTGTGTGTGTGTGTGTGTGTGTGTGTGTGTGTGTGTGTGTGTGTGTGTGTGTGTGTGTGTGTGTGTGTGTGTGCTAGGCGTCATTAATAAAGGGTCAAATGATATACAGCACATGTAAAGAAACGTTTCTTAGTAATAAGAGAACCAAGAGTATCATCATTATGTTTAATGAGTGAGTGAGTGTGTGGGTTTAGTTTTACGCCGCTTGTAGCAATATTCCAGCAGTATCACGGCGGGAGACACCAGAAACCGGGCTTCACCAGAACCCGTGTCTTCGGCGTGACGAGCGGACGCTTTAGTCACTAGTGTACCCCACCGCCCTAATGTTTAATATGTTGACAAACGTGACAGCAAGACAAAATGTTCAAACAGCACTAGCAAACATCAGTTGTATAGATCAACCCCCCAAAAGGAACATAACAGACATGAAGCACGAGGTCATTCAATATCTTGTGTACCCTACCTTGCCACAAAAGGCGACTGTGCTTGTCGTAAGAGGCGACTTACGGGATCAGGTGGTCAGGCTCGCTGACTTGGTTGACACACGTCATCAGTTTCTAATTGCGCAGATAGATGCTCATGCTGTTGATCACTGAATTGTCTGGTCTAGACTCGATTATTTACAGACCGCTGCCATATAGCTTAAATATTGGTGAGTGCGGCGTAAAACTAAACTCGCTCACTCACTCCTCGCGTGTCCAAGACACAGGTGCACCTTGTTCTCATGCTCCTTATCAAGTTCATAAAGAATGCTTGCGGAATCGCATTCCATTCCACTACTAGAGCTCTACGGAGTCCTGCGAGATCCACTGGTGCTGGGTGACATGTGTACACACGTCGACCGATGGCCACGCCATCCGCTCTACAACCTGCTGCCTAAGTAATTCCGTGACAATCCTGGCCCAATGAGGCCCAACGTTGCCGTTTTGAAGTCAAGAGGGTCGACCATAAAAGCCATGCATAGCTTGCAGGAGGAATGGTACTGCTATAGGAGCCAGAATCTCGTCCAGATAACGCTGTCCGGTAAGATTACCGTCGACCACGTGCAGTGGAGTACCTCAAGTAAGAGTTATCCCAAACCATGACCGAGCCCCCGCCGAAACTGTTATGCGTGGCCACAGCTGCATCTTTGATTCGTTGTCCATTGCGACGATAAATCCTATGCCGACCATCATGGAAGGATAAATTGAATCTGCTTTCATCTGTGAAGAGCAGACGAGCCCATTGACGTTGATTCCAGCGGCCATGATGTCTATTCCATCTCAAACTCTCCCGCCTGTGACGTGGTGTTAGTGGTCGCTAGTAGTCCGGCTGCCCTTAAACGTCGACGAACGGTGCTACTGGACGTCCTTACCTTGTTAACATTGATGTGTTCTGTCTGAAGATCTGCTGTGTTAAGGAATCTGTTACGTAACGCAGTATTAATCATGTGCCTATCATCTCCGACTGTTGTGACTCTGGGACGATCTGGTCGAAGTGCATATTCCCATTGGCTTGAAATCTCTGTCACAGTCTACCAATAGCACTCTGACTCACATTAAAGCGGACAGCAACCTGCCGCTGAGTTTGACCAGATTCCAAAATGCCTATAGCCTGACCCCTTTCAGCAATGCATGTGTATTTTCCTCCACTTTCCATAGAGCGACTTGCACGTGCAAATCATTGACATTAAGTGGCAGCTGAATTTTTATATTGACAATTTGAATTAAAACATTGTTATATAATGTTTGTTTGTTTGTTTTAACGCCGCACTCAGCAATATTTCAGCTGTAAGGCGGTGTTCTGTAAATAATCGATTCTGGACCAGACAACCCAGCGGTCAAAAACATGAGCATCGATCCACGCAATCGGTATGCGATGACATGTGTCAACGAAGTCAGTGAGCCTGACCACCCGATCCCGTCAGTCGCCTCTTACAACAAGCATAGGTAGTCAGGTGGCATGAATGAGGTCAGGTGGCATGAGGTAATGAACGACAAAAAGATAATCACAGCCACTGATCCATACAGATTGGGATAGTTTCGACATAGGTCACCTCACGCCACATTTAGTAGCATGAATAGTATCCAAGTTGATGTAGCCGGATGTTTGTGACGCATGGAGCAGTATCTCCATAGCGAAAACATATTTTTGACAAAGTATTCAACCTGCTGGAAACACGTAACGATTCAAACTGTGACCATTATGGCCTGACATAAAGTTAGTTTCAAGGTGATATCGGACGTCTGATCAAGGTTATGATATTTTTCGGAACAGGCCCCGAAAGGTTTTATTAAAGAATAAAAAGAATTTGTAATCAAGAAAATTCTTTTGTTCAGGAATCATGTTGGTAATATTCTATAGATCTGCGAACAAACCAGCATGGGACTCACCAAATCACTGATTATCTTCACTGAATTAATAGAGTTGATCTGGTTTTGAGAGTGATCAAGAAAGAAATATACTGACGTAACTTACCAAGGGCAAAGCCGCAGAGATAAGCAATTTGTTGCCATGTCCTTTCCAGGTCCTCCACGCATTTCTGTAGGTGGAACAAACGTGTAATGACTGAATTGTCTGAATTGACTGAATTGTCGATGCAGTGCGGTATACATCCACTTTACCTGACAACAATCAGGGAGTGGGTGAGTGAGTGACTTTAGTTTTACGCCGCCCTCAGCAATATCCCAACTATATATGGCCGCGGTCTGTAAATAATTGGGTCAGAACCAGACAATCCAGTGATCAACAGCATGAGTATCGATCTACACAACTGGGAACCGATGACATGTGTAAACCAAGTCAGCGAGATTGACCACCCGATCCCGTTGGTCGCCTCTTACGACAAGCATGGGTTACTGAAGATGAATATTCTAACCCATCCTCGATTATGTCCAGGGTATACGTTACGATCACTCTCCACTATACCCTGGATGTATCCACGGCTTGGCCCGATGATTTTATTACCTCCCTTTGCTGGCTCCGCATTCTTACAGTATAAAAGAACTCCTTCTACCTCTTTCTCTGCATCAATTGTGTTGCCAAGTTTAAACGGTTAGATAAATTAAGAAGCGAAAGTGAGTTGTGATTGGTTCGCTCAACTTCCCAGCGTAGACACCTGATTGGATAAAAAGCCAATCAAGGGAGGTAATGAAATCATCGGGCCAACCCGTGGATGCATCCAGTGTATAGTGGAGAGTGATCGTAACGTATACCCTGGATATAATCGAGGATGATTCTAACCCGGAAATTGTATTTAATTCTTGCAATAAAATTAAAAGAAACACAAAAAATATAAATGCTGCCCTTAACCTCATGTCATTTACGTGAATGATTCACGGATTACTACATAATACTTATAGGGCGTCTACCTGCCCCCACTCTCGTGTAACTGACAGGCGCGTGGAACGAGATCACGATGTACTTATATAAACTTTTGACTTTTGTGTGTGGAAAAATACACGGAATTATTACATAAACTCATGCTGATATCCATAGAAATACACATTATCTGAGATTCTTTGAAAGCAGTGCATCCGTTACGCATGTGGCTGACTTTGCTTCAACGCCGTTGTGAACAATACGTCAGTGAGTGAGTGAATTTAGTTTTACGCTGCTTTTAGCAATATGCCAGCAATATCACGACACCAGACATGGGCTTTACACATTGTACCCATGTGGGGAACAGAACCCGAGCGACAAGAGAACGCTTCAAACACTAGGCTACCCAACCGCCCCATTCAGAGAAACATCCTTAACACCAAAGCAACATCCCCTGAAATTTTGTAATCGGTAGATGTGGTTTTGTCATCGTGTCAGATCGGGCGGAGAGGTAGCCGGGTACAATGTGTGAAGCCCATTTCTGGTGTCCCCCGCCGTGATGTTGCTGGAATATTGCTAAAAGTGACGTAGAACTACACTCACTCATTCATCGTGTCAGATAATGTAAGGCAACATGAATCCCGTCAGTCGCCCAAGGACAGGCATGGTTGTTGAAGACCATTTCTAACCCGTATCTTTCATGCATTTGGAAATACTTCAACACTGACACAAACATAACGAGCGGCGGCTTATGACTGTGGGGAAATAGACAATGACAAAACAAGAATTCTGTATGAACACCTATTAAAATCTATCAAAAATTACTTCGGCAAAGTTATTGTCGATGAGATCCATCAGCTTATTCAAAACGTCTCCAAAGCGGTTCAGGACGTTAGTGAGTTCTGAAGGAACACAGCGATTGAATATGGACGAACTGAAAGAGGAAAAAAAACATGAGCGGAATATATCACATCAAAACAATGAAACATTATTTACATGGCTTAATTTTACGAATTATAATTCATTTACGAGACCAAGCCAGCTTTATTACTGGCCAATCAAATTGCGTGTGTTAGCTTACTGCTGTTTAACCGGAAGTGGTGGACACGTTCCGGATCCGTTTGCAGGTCCAGCCTGGTAGTCGGTCACTTCGATATTGTAAGCACATAGTCTCGGCCCAGACTGGGCCAGATCCTTCATTTCCTGTACAGTGTTGATGGCTGATGGCGGACACTGGCTCACACAGATCATGATTGTTGACACTGTCAGATCTTGTTTAGATACAGCTTCGATGTAATTTGGGTTGTAGTAGAACACCTGGCTGTGATAGAAATTACAGGTTATACCAGTGTTTGCCCTTAACCCTGAAAAGCTGCAAGCCCTAAGGACCCAGAACCATAAAAAGTTGTGGGGCCTGGTCAGAATGAGTAGGGCCTATATTTTAATTTATGAAAAGTATTGAAAATCAAAATGAAATTGTAGTTATGGTAAGGTAGATATGGTTTCGTCTTAAAAAAACTCTTGAACGTCCTTCAAGTATGTATCATAAACCTCTGGATCAATTACTGCTGTGAAACAAAATTACGTCAATAAATATCACCTAGGTTAGGTCCCGAGGTGGACACATTTGCGTAGTATCCTTGAACAAGATACTTAGATCCACATTGTCTCAGTTCACCCAGCTGTAAAATGGGTACCCGTGAGGATGTGCTGTATGATCCATAGGGAGTTGAAAAAGTATCGGAAGGTACGATAGTGTCCTATGACCGGGATAGTAATGTACGTAGCGCCGTGAGCAGGCAATGTGCCTGGATATGCGCGCCATATAAGCGGACTATTACTATTATCCTCGATATACTTACGTCAGACCGGTTGTATCCTGGCCAGAAAGGGGAGCTCCGTCTATGGGGTCGTTGTCACTGTGACACGTGTTACCCCAGCTGTCTACGCCGTAGATGAGGCGGTTGGGGTGGCCAAGGTCCACTGCTCGGTAAATGATGTAACCCTGGTCAAACAATTAAATATACTTATATGCACACACGTAGTTATATCTCATCTATGAAGCCCATTTCTGGTGTCCCCCTCCCTGATGTTGCTGGGGTATTGCTAAAAGCGGCGTAAAACTAAACTTACTCACTCTGCTGATACAGATAAGTTAGTAGTGAAGTGATTGTCAAGTGATGGTAAGTGAAGACATCATAATAAATAAAGTGTGAAACCAACCTGAATAAAATATATACTCACGAGTCCCCCGAGGAAGGCGATGAAGATGACGAGGAAGAGCACATCTCGACATGAGCGGGTTTTAGTAGGACCGGTGAAGTGATCCTCAACCTCTCGGGGCACCTGTAGAAATAACGGTACTTTCCCTTTCAAAGCACTGTCAATAATAATCACTGACAAAAACCCAGTGATTCAGAAAACTGAATGTGAGAACATGATTGAAGTTTGTTATCATTATCTCATTTGGACCATTACAAGTGTGGTTTTCATCCTATTCATGATTTCATCGAGTTGGGTTTAATGCCTATTTTTAAAAAAACTTAAATTGTATATAAAGGAGGACCGCCCGAATGTCGCTTTGGTGAAACCCAAGCCATTATGATCCATGATATGGTGTTGACAAACCTACAAACAGTCGGGGCCAACAGAGTTTACTTACAATCACAGGTTTCTCTACCCAAGGGAGGCAACTCTGCATAGGTTCATTTATATAACGAATAAATATATAATTTATTACAATCACAGGATTCTCTACCCAAGGGAGGCAACTCTGCATATGTTCATTTATATAACCAATAAATATATAATTTATTGCCTAACTGAAATTAGTGTCACATGTCATCGTATCCCATTAGTGTAGATCGATGCTCATGCTGTTGATCACTGGAGAGTCTGGTCCAGAATCGAATATTTACAGACCGCCGCCATATAGCTGCAATATAGCCGAGTGTGACGTTAAACAACAAAGAAATCAACCAACAAAAGCCCGATTGACAGGTATTGCAGTTCAAACTGAGATCTAACGTATTGAAACTAAATTACATGTACTGTTATTGTTTGCGATAGATTCAGTCAGTGGATCAAGTCATGGTATTTCAAAGTTGTACATGGTTTTGCTCATGTATAATATCGCCTACATATTATCACATTTACTTTTGAGTGATTTATAGTCGTATAATTTAAGAAAATAAATATAATTTTCATATTATGAAACGGGATGCTTTAGATTCATTTGATGTTTGATGCTACAGTTTCGTCAGCATTTTTTAATACAGGCATTACATGTGCTAATTTCCGTTCTGATTGATACACACCTTTTCGTAATGATAATTCAACAAGTAAACATAATGGCACACCTATTAAATGAGCAGCTACTTTTAAAATCTTAGGACTTATTCTGTTGGGAGCCGCACCTTTATTCAGTGGCAGAAGTCACTGTTATAAGTTCTAAAGTGGATTTTGTACGTCTATCAAATTGAGGAAGAGTCATATTCTCGTCATTTACGAACAAGATCGAGGTAAAGTAGTTACTTAAAAATTCAGCTTTATCAATATCTGAGAAAAGCGACGGGTCATCAATAGGATTTCGTTTGAGTGCGGGAATGCAAGTTGCTGTACAACATATCGCAGCATTTTTAAGTAAGATGGTTTATTTTTAAAGTGTAATTCAGTAATAAAATCAGCAAGATTGGAATAAAAGTACTCTTTTGCATGGTATTTCAAGTTGTTTACTTTATTTCTCTGTTTCATATACAATCGAATGTCTCTTTCACTGTCAGCTCTTTTAGCTTTCTTTCTCATTCTGTCACGTTTTCTGCATTCCCGTCTCAACTCATTATCGAACCAAGGCTTATCATCAGGACGAATCGTTACAGTTTTAGAATGTACACATTAACACCTTGTGAAAATATCGTGAAAGACTTTACATGCATCATCAACACAATCATAGTTGTTACAAATATCAAACCAGTCAGTACTTTCTATAAGATTGTCAAGTTTATCGTATTTGTAACACCATACATGTCTAGATAAACACATTTCGGTGGTGACATTTTGTCTAACGAAATATATGTTCCTCTATGATCCCTAACTTTCTTATCCAATTCAACAACACCGCTGTCTCGAACAGATATGTCCTCACTTACTATCACAGGGCCTAATAGTGTAGCAGTGGTTCTAGTCACTCTAGTAGGTTCCTTAATAACATTATATAGATTTTTTCGTTCCAATAAGTCCACAATATTTAATTGTTTACTTGACAGCAATTTTTTTTTATATCTGCAAGAATCGTTATCTTACTGGATCCATCTAGGGCTGTTTCTACACTTTCATCTAACCGTTGCCAAAATGTATAGTTATACTCAGGTCTGTCTACAACACATTATATTAAAGGTTTTTGTGGAAGAAATAGCTTGATCCAAATCGTTTCGTCATGAATGGTTTCTAAAACTACCATCCTTTTAAAAGCAAGTTGTTTACTTACATATATCATGACCCCTCCCCAAAAAGCATTTCTATCTTTTCTGACCGGTTCGTGAAAATTATCTCATAAAAGATCAGTGCTGTTTACAGTCTCATCCAGGAGTGTTTCGGTAAAACAGACAATGTGATAGTCAGAGAGTACTTCACTCAAATATTTTAACTTGTTGCGCACACATCGTGTATTTAAGTGAAATTTATCAAGTGCTTGTTTAGAGTCATGGTTCAGTGGGCCTGGATTGGCCTCCACGTCCCCTGCAAGCAGTAGCAACAATAGGAGGACCATAGCTTTGTCGGCATTATGTAACTGACATTGTAGAAAGCAAAGAAATGTATACACACAGCACGTATTGCATTCAGTTTTGAACAAGCTGTACAACTTTCCAAATTTGTTGTGGCCAATTCGTTATGAAAGAACCTTGGAGATAACATTGCAGGAAACATTGATAGCAGTGGATTTCTAAAGTGATTTCTAAAGCTACATGAAATAATACAATTGAAACTTCCTATCTCCACACGGTATTGTGTTAGATGATTACCCATATAGCAAAGGTCTCAACAATATGGAGTAATGTGACACACATGATAGGAAGACTGGATACAAACAGAATAATTACATTTTTCTTTACACAATTCAGCACGTGTATATTTTAACCGGCAATGCAGACCTGACTTTAGGTAAGCGTTAGCAGAAGTGTAGACAGGGTATACCATTGGAGGTACTATGGATGAGCCAATAGCAGGACGCAAGAAGACAAAAGAAGTGAGTATATATATATACAAGAGGAATATAAACAGATAAAGACAACGGCAACGTAGATTAAAACGACGGGTTTGAAGGTTTTGTTTCTCTCCCTCATGAAATCTACGAGTTCAACAGGTAAGGTTCAAATTCACTAATAGTTATAGATATATGTATGTGTAAACATTAACACTATTAAGATAAGTGCGACATAAACACTTCATGTTTATTGCATAGAGTGACGTTTCGATGTAGATTCTTACACCGTTATCGATGTGTAAGAATCTAGATCGAACCGTCGCTCAATGCAATAAACAAGAAGTTGTCATCTATAATGTTGTATGATTTATTTTCGATTCATATTGAAGTGGCGTTATCGAAGCTGTAGCAGTAATCAAGAAGTAACAGTTGAAGTAGTTCCACTTTGTTTATTCTTTCATTGTGATGTTTCTTATATTTTTATCAAGCAATATTTTTTCGTGAGCGGCATATACTATACCCTTTTACATTTTAATGTATAGCCAAGATAAGGGTTAAGACTTTACGCTGATTAGTCAGATTTCGTGAAAAAACATTTCTTTAATGCGGGTATATTAGATCAGTGGTGATATTTTGGGGACGTATATCAAAATCGTCGAAGAGTTCATATCTTATCTCGAACAGGGGAGATGCGGTGGGGTAGTGGTTAAAGCTTCGCTCGTCACGCTAATGGCCCGTGTTCGATTCCCCACATGGGTACAATGTGCGAAGGCCATTTCTGGTGTCCCCTGCCGTGATATTGCTGGAATATTGCTCAAATCGGTAAGAGTTCCTTACAAATCGGATAGACCACCACCTAATTTTTAACTATAAACTATAGACAAAACTATAGTGTTTGTTCATCACAAAAAGCGGGGGCTACGTAAGGAACTCTTTCCCTAAAGTCGGCGTAAAACCATACTCACTCACTCACTCTAACATGGGACGACATGTTTGATTCCAACGGCCGGTGTCGCGTTATCAGCCACTTGGATATCGGGTGTAATTATCTGAGACAGCAGGGTGATGCTGTCACCGACACAAACAACATCCATCATTCAGTTGAATTTTTAAAGTAAAAACGGACCCCATAACCCTCACTGCGCCATCACAGTAATTTAAGAAATGAAACAAATCCTACCTGTTCCTCCACTTGCACCCCTGCATCAAAATCAACAACCTCATCTTTTGGAGACATCGTCAGTATGTGTACCTAACTCTGACATACGACACGTGGCTGCCATGTTGTGCAGTGTTGCACATGTCCTGCTGCGTGAACGACTAATCCCTACCACGATTCCGACAGGTATGTTGTGACACACACGATACACCATTTCTAATGCTATTAGCTACATTGACTTATTTGTAATCCACATTAAACCAGGAGCAAATACTATTTAAGTGAGTGAGTGAGTTTAGCTTTACGCCGCCTTCAGCAATATTCCAGCAATATGATTGCAGTGGACACCAGAAATTGGTTGTTCACGTTGTACCCATGTGGGGAATCGAACCCGGGTCTTCAGAGCTTTAACCACTAAGTTACCCCGCCGCCCCGATACTATTGAAGGAAACCATGCCCTGTCATTTTATGTAAAGAAATAGAATGGCCAGCCATTTTGCTCGAGCCAAAGTTACTCTAACGTTGGACATTTCACATGTAAAACATGCCGTCCACGGTGACACATCTGGGGATACTTGCGTGTGTAAATAAACGTCGCAACCACATGGCACATTGATCGTGCAAGAGAAGGCTAATACATCAACCGGTATACATGACAGGAGATGAAACATGCAAGCGAGCTGGCTTGTCACAGAATACATCTGTAATCCGCAAACGCGTGGAGTTAGGTTCAGGATGAGAGGTCCAGTTTATGCTTTACAGGAGTGTGTGAGTTTATTTTACGTCGTCTTTAGCAATATTCCAGCAATATCACGGCGAGGGACATCAGAAATGGGCTGCACACATTATACCCATGTGGGGAATCGAACCCGGGTCTTTGGCATGACGAGAGAACACTTTAACCACTAAGCTAACCCACAGCCCCTTTTTCTGAAGGAGACAACATGTTTGGAGACGGCATGGAGAGGAGTAGTATCCGGCAGCGGCCCAAGAGCACGATACGCACGGTGGTGGTCAAGATGGTCAGGGCGTGCAACAGTTCCACCAGACAGATCTGATCATCGTGACGTCATGTTGACCAAGTTTTACACCAAGCATTCATCCCTTTTGTCCAGCGAGGATGTCAAAACACTGGGTTCCAGAAAGGAACACAATTCCACACAGCAAGGTGTCAAACGTTGCCCTGTACAACAAAGACCTCCAGACGTGTCACCGGTTGATCATCTTTGGAATAATTTGGGAGATAGGGTTCGTACCTGATGTCTGTGTTGGCAGAATTTGCAGTTGTATTGGCAGGCACTACTTGACAATGGCGAAGGGCACCACACTAGACTGTCCGAACAGGAGAATACCCAGAATATGTCGTGCCTGCAACTCTACTCTATCGACATGGAACCACCTCCGGTGTAGTGGTTAGAGCGTCCGCCCGGAGAGCGGAAGGTCGCGGGTTCGATCCCCGACCGCGTCATACCAAGAGACGTTAAAATATGGTACTTGTTGGTCCCTGCCTGGCGCTCGGCATTAATGGGTACAACAAGGACTGGTCGACTCGGTGTCAGTATAATGTGTCTGAGTGGGGTATTCATGCTTCACTACGGCATGGTATCTCAGTGGGCTCGCACTATAAAACCAGCTTCAGTCAGGGCTAGTACAAGCAGCCGCACATACACATACACACGCATGCACGTCGTCATATGAGCAAAATATTCTCAAGCACGACGTTAAACCCAATTTTACCTCACCTCACCTATCGACATGGCTCAAATATTGACTTTATAATGAATATTGAATTTCACAGTTTCTTTACATATTATATGCACACAGTCTGACATTTCAAATCAATGAACGTATCAGTTAATCATAATATTTTAAAATGCTAGCGTAAGTCAACAAGCTAGTGTATGACGGTTAAAACACTATTATAATTTCTATTTGTCCAGCAATTAGCTGAACTGAGTTACAGTGTTCCAGCACAGAATTTGCAAGTTTGCGGTTTGTTGATTCTTCGTTCACGGACAGTCTCCTTCTCTTGTCGTTGACCTGGGACGCCGTAAATGATGTCCATGATTACTATTTTGCATTTGGGTTTATTTGCCAGTTGTTTTACGCCCCACTCAGCAATATTCCAGCTATATTGAGTGGTCTGTAAATGATCGAGTCTGGACCAGACAATCCAGTGATCAACATCATGAACATCGATCAACGCAATGGGATACGATGACATATGTCAACCAAGTCAGCGATCCTGACCACCCGATCTTACGACAAGCATGGGTTGCTGAAAACCAATAATTCTCACCCGGATCTTTACGGTAGGGTTTTTTGGTATCTGTTATATATTCTGCTAATTTCAGACTGTCAAACAATGCCCTGCTGGCCACCTCACAGACTTCTGGCATTTTCCATCTTGCCAATAGCCTGTTGACCCCGTATCGCAAGTTCATACACAAATAATGAGTGAAAATCAAGTAAATCACAACTTATGACAAGCAGAATCAATAATACTGACAGAAATAATGGTCCACAGAGATAATCGACCGTTCTTTAAAGTGTCCACATCAGGACATCCCACCGACATGACATGCTAGAGGATGTCATTTGTGGTTTACAGACATAAGGATATATGTCACCAGTACTTATCTTGGATGAAATACATGCTATTAACATTTATATTTCATTATCTCATACTTTTGTGAGAGTATATTCTCATCCAATAATGGATGCTATCCATTACTGCAACGATCCGATTTGATGAAACCTCACATGTAGGTGTCATGTTGTCCATCCAAGATGCCTTGAAGAACCAATGACCTAAAGAAAGATGAAAGGCTCCTCGCCGGGCGCGTAGCCATTTTTTTTTCGTGTAAGCCAGATAGGTTGCAAAGGTTAATATTTAGATAGTATTGAGGGCTTGTCCGACTTGCAAAGCAAAAATCATGTGTAAGCCCGGGCTTTATAATGGTACCTACGCCCTGCTCCAAAGGTGTGTTTGTTTCTATCTAGGCACCGCAATATGTTTTCCAGAGTTACATCCCTTGGGCAAGTGTTTCTAGGATTAGCACCGTACCGTGCACGTGGGTTTAACCAAAGTGGCCAACGTCTAAGGAATGCATCACTTTGGGGTCTCCTATATTTAGCTGGCAGCTGTTTTATCATGTGAATATTGTTCCCTCAATCTTTGAGACTATGGCCCAAGGGTTGTAGGCCATACTGAATTTGAAAACATTAGAACCCTCGCTGAAGATCAGCATGAGTCATGGCAAATATGTTCCCTGCATGTGTGTACCGGAAGGTTATTGATCTTTAGTGTGCTGTTCAATAGTTTTCAGTCAGCAATTACAGTGATGTTCAAAGTCATGGGCATGGTTTAGAAATTCCAATTATCTTTTTTTCGAAACAACCAGAGTGTCGAAAGGGGGCTAGTAAGGTTGGTTGGTTTGTTGTTTAACAAACTCGTGGTTTGTTGTTTAACAAACTCAGCGATATTCCAGCTAAATAGTCAGAAAACCCAGTGATCAACAGCATGAGCATCGATCTACGCGATTGGGATGCGATGACATGTGTCAACCAAATCAGCGATCCTGACCGCCCGATTCCGTTAGTCGATAAGCTTGGGTTGCTGAAGTCAAATTCTAACCCGGATCTTCACGGGTCGGGTTAGTAAGGATGATACAAATGTTCGCACAATAAATCAAGCGGGGGAGTACGACTGTGTCTATCTCCACGTATACGTACCCCCTTCTGAGGTTGCACCACCGTGTCATAAGCACCACAGCACCCCATTGTGAGGTACTACCTGCCTGTCTGGTCTCTGACTGTCATGGAGTCACTCATCTGAAACAAACAAGCCTTGCTGCAGTTGACGTTCAATATTGTTTTCTGCAAATGTCAATATATAAATAAACATCGCCTTGTGTTATGGATTCTAAGTAAGTGTTGCACCAAGTTCCAGTATGTCTTATAGGCACACGGTTAACGATTATTGGTGATAATATGCGTGAGGCTGGTGACACTGAAACGAATAAACACGATGAATAATATCTAGATAGACACAAAATAGAAGGGAGCATATGTAAGAGTATATTAACCGTTCCCACAGGCTCTGACTAGGACAGGTCATCTCCTATATCATTCATGTAACTCACACCATTTTGCTTCTTGATTCTAACTTTCATTTTGTGTTTCAAACGTGAAATATACTCATGCCAATAATGGTTGTCAACCCCCTCCCCACCCCAACCCCACACCCCTCACACACACACCCCACACCCCTCTTTATTTAATAAAATTGAAGGGGGTGACAACCATTATTGGCATGAGTATATTTGCACGAAACTGACAAAGTGTTTCAAATTGTCAAATACGATTTGTCAGTAATAAACCTTGCAGAAACAAAATCACATATTATCATTGTGTTTTACAGATTTAAATATACGAATGCTGCATCATCAGCCCTGGGATCTTAACCCACTACGTGTAAAGAAGACGGAGAATGGAATTCAAGCCTAGTGGAACCGCAGAGAACTGTCCACAGAATATGGAGACTCCCCAACACTGCAACCTTCTGCATGTCCCAGAGTGCCAGGAGAGCGATGCTCACTCCTGATCTTCGTCAAGAAATCGGGAGGTACCAAAGCAAACGCACCCAGATCAAATGGGGAGCCTGACCACAGTTTACTAGGAATGCAAGCGAGACCTTTCAAAGGCGAAGCCCCATCATTTATCATGGTTTTCCCGAATCTTGTTAATCACAGTACTCAAAAGTGACAGAAAATTTAACGACATAAATATTTTCATGGGCTTTTTGTTAAAAAATGACAAGATTAGGTTTCCAGGAATGTTTCTTTGGCTGTGTATGGACCTATTCCGAAGAAGTTTAAAGGCATCATTTTCCACCATCATTAGTATTATCAGATCATCCCTGTTATTCCATACGACGACTTTAGTTTTCAAACAGTTCTCCATAATTACGCTTTATTCCAAATCGATCACATTCATTTAAACGGAAACGAGGCTGCTTTTAGACATGAATTATATAAACGTCGCCATGACGACAGGTGCACAATAGTCCGATTGTCCGAGAGGTTGTTTCACCTGTCGGTCGTGAAAATGTAGCGCCGCTTTTCTGTTATTAATGCCGTATAATTGTATCGTGTAGATTTCCGGTGTTAAAGCCTGCTATGAACTGTCAATGTCAAAATATTTTTGGAATGCAAATAACATCATGAAACCATGTTACGCGGTGTTTATGTGTGAACAGGGCGCTAAATTTGGAATGAGAGATATTTATTTATTTATTTATTTATTTATTTATTTATTCAATTATGTTCATTGATAAAATGTTAGACTGATATGATTGAAAACTTGCTAGAATATTCGCAATCACATTCACTAAATCTTCATTGAATGTGCATTCAAGATCTTGTTAATATTTTTTTCAGATTTACACGAACAAGTTCGAGTACTTCACGATTGCCGCGAGACGAAACTGTACTCGTTCAACCTCGAAAGATCGTGTCTCCAGGAAATACAATAAACTGTTGTGTGTAACGATATCAAATCTTATCACAATATGATGTTTCTCATTTGAACAGCGTTACTTCATGAGATAATGTCAATGTGACGTTAAGATTACACCTTTTTACCCTCTCCTAACAGTCGGCTAAATTTATTGATTATTTAAAGGGGAGCAGTATTTTATGGCAGCCCCGTAAGTAATGCTACTAGACTTGGTTTTAAATGTTCTACCCCCACTGACGCACGTTCACGGAACTCTCTTTCGACTCTAAGAAGAACAGGGTCGACAATCGTTTCAATTGTCCCAAACTAATACATTTTGACAGCACACGTGTTATACACTTGGCAGAATGCTCGTTATAAAATTTGGTCTCCTAGAAAGGTTTGCTAGCAGGTTGTCTTTCACAAACTGGTCAATATCTTGTTTAACATGTTTAGACAAGGATATTGCAGTACGAGTAGTTAAAGATAGCCTATAGTAAGACGATCTTCCAACATTTCGGAAAAGAAGTACACTTATATATGTTTTGATATTACATTACAAAGACTGCGTAAAACAGATGTTGTTTAATGCATACTGTATAAGATAGGTTTAACTCGACGTATGACGTGATTGTTTTGTTATACATTCCCGCGGGGAGAATCGAACCCGAGACATAAAATCCAGAGTAAACTGGAGGTGTCATATTATCTGTTAATCCTGACATACTGAAGAAAAGAAGTTAGTGATCACGAATATTTATTCATTCATTCATTCATTCATTCATTCATTCATTCATTCATTCATTCATTCATTCATTTTCATTTTCATTTTTATTTATTTATTTATTTATTTATTTATTTTGTTATTATTTTTCTATTTTAATATATTTTTATTTATTTACTTTTATTTATTTTTTCCAGGATTCTTTCTGAAATTGTACTTAGTTTTCACTACAAATGTATAATTATTAAAAAAACAAATGCTTCTTATTTTATTTTTGATACTGACTCGCTTATATAAAAAGCGCAAATGAAGACATTTACGTTCAGATGCACTCAAGCAATCTACATATAACATTTAAGAAGCATTACCATAATCTATATCACAAACGTTTGCGTTATCTACACTAGAACACCGTGCTTCCATGACAAGGAAGTTTAACGTCACGTGTGCGTGGCAGAACGCGGCAAAGCGTCTTCGATTGATTGTATATGACCAATGGCTGTGACCAATATTATCTGGTTACTCATTCTCATGTTTCACGTTTCGCCGACACGTGGGGGTATCCCCGGTCTCACAACCCGCAGTCACGACAGTGGAGCTAGTGACACGGTTATTGTGCAGAATTATTCACCTGTTCACCTGCGTGATGAATCTGATGATCATCAATCTATTATGGGCCCGTGTTTTGTTACTGGAAAAAATGTCTGATTGTCTGTCTGTCTGCCCGCTGTCTGTATGAAGAAGAAGAAGATAAAAGAGGCTTATACATTTACATAAATCAGGAACTCAATATTTCTTTTGGAAATATACTCATGGAAACGAATAAAGGAACACATTATATAATTAAAGTACAAGTGTTCCTTTATTCACTCCCAGAATTTCACTCCCAGTGCAATACATACCTTGTGAAGAAACCTGGAAAAGATTAAAGGAACACTTGTACTTTCATGTGTTCCCTTATTCGTTTCCATGAGTATATTTGCGCATGTCATTTCTCTCAATTTTGCCTATATATGTTCAAGAAATTTTGAAATTATGAAAAATTAAATAGAACTAAACTAAAATACTTAAAAATGAAGATGCAGATGTATGCCTACACTGTTACCCTCAACACACGTATTCATCCGTGTTTACTTAAGTGTTAGTACCCGGTAAGCTCTGTTCAGAATGGGTCATCAGTATGCTTGTCGCAAGAGGCGGCGAGAGGGATCTGTTGGGCATACTCAGTGACTTGGTTGATGCATCGAATCCCAACTGTGTAGATCGATGCTCATGATGTCGGTCACTTGTTTCACAACGATTATGTACAGAGCGCCGTCATAAAGATTGAATATTGCTGAGTGCACAGTTAAACGACAAACATTAAGTGACAGTTCCTCTGGAGATCAAGTATCAGTGGAAATGTGTCAGTGGAAATTAGCATACCAGACACGTATAATCCATTCGACAGACTGTTAAGGTCTCTGGCGGTTGGGTAGTCTAGTAGTTAAAGCGTTCGCCCGTCACGCCGAAGACACGGGTTCGATTACCCCACATGTCACGACGAAGCCCGTTTCTATATTGATGGAACATAGCTCAGAGCGGCAAATAAAGCAATATTCACTCACTCAAGGTATTATTTTCTGCAAGGGACGGGGAATTTTGTTTTCAGACAATATATCTCATATTACCATGGAAACGAATAAATGAACACATGAAAGTACAAGAGTTCCTTTTTTCTTTTCCAGGTTTCTTCACAAGGTATGTATTGCACTGTGGGTGGAATTCTGGGAGTGAATAAAGGAACATATGTACTTTAATGTGTTCCTTTATTCGTTTCCATGAGTATATTTCCAAAAGACATATTGAATTATGAATTTATGATGTACGATCATGGGCAGAAACCTTCCAATCAATAGTGCACACAATGTATTGCAATATCTCTTAAATTATTACAATATATCGCAATATGAAAATCAGGGCAATATCCAGTATGGTATGTTTTTGCACTGTGGGTGAAATTCTGGGAAATATATAAAGGAACACTTGTACTTTCACGTGTTCCCTTATTCGTTTCCATGAGTATAAATATGAAAGCAGCTTTTCTTTTGGGTGACGGTACGTTATATCCATGTCCATGCATGATTTATTTAAAAACTCTAATGACTGTATTTTCCAACAGCGGAAATAAAACCTTAGTCAATAATTTCGAAGTAAATCGTTCTCATCATCTATAACATCTGTTCGTTGTTTAATGGACAAACTTATGAACCATCGACCCTTGGTATAGAGAGGTATTGACAGTAAGAGTTCCACCGGTTAAAGGAGTGATGGGGTAGCCTTGTGGTTAAAGCGTTTGCTCGTCACACGAAACGCCCGGGTTCAATTCCCCACATGGGTACAATGTGTGAAGCCCATTTCTGGTGTCCCCCCGCCGTGATATTGCTGGAATATTGCTAAAAGCGGCCTAAAACCAAACTCACCCGCACCAGTGAAGCGTGGTTTCGAACATTGTACACTGAACAACATGCAGCCAATAACAAGAAGCCGGTTTTAATTGTATTTTAGAGAAGAATTGATTACCGAAGTTACTTTGAAGACCGAGTAGTTTACGTCAGGCCTACCTTTATTA